TTTCCTTCGTATTCATTCTCTTTTCTTTCCTTTCCATTCCTATCTTTTCTTTTCCTTCCTTTTTCTTTCCTTGCTGTCGTACACCTTCCCTTTATTCACTTTTATATTCCGTGCCTTCCTTCTCCACTTCTTTCCCTTCCTTATTTCCCGTTCGTTTTCCTTATATTTCCTTGGTATTTTCTTTGCATCATTTCACTTTCCCTACTCTCCTTTTATTTTCTTTCCATTTCTATCTGTTCCTTTCTTTCCCCTCGTCTCCTTTCCTTTATTTCACTTCTCTACCCCTATCGTTATTTCCTTTTCCTTTCCCTTCCCTTCCTTTCTTTGACTTTCTTTTCATCCGCTTTTTTCTTTTCATTCCTCTCCTTTACTTATCTACAATTCCCTTCCTTCCCTAATATTTCTTTTATTTTCCTTCACTTTTGTTGTTAATGTTGTAGCAACATAATAGTAAGTTTTGGGGAATGTTGCTGAAGTCGCAGTTCTTGGCCACATATAAATCTGGGTCGCTCCGGTTGCTTAACCCGACTACTATTCTTCTATTCTCCTTCGCTTCTCGTTTTCTGCTCTTTTCTTTCTCTGCTCATCCGTTCTTTTCATTTCCTTACTCTACTTTACATCGAATCCATTTTTTTCATTCCAAAATAATTCGTTTAATTTTACTTCAAAGCGTTTTACTCAAATCCAATTTCTAACCTTTCCTCCCTTCGTCTGTTTGCCCTAAGTCTCGCTTGCCAACGCCATTTAATATTTTTTCCCCTTCAAGCACAACAGTCAACCTCTTAACCCAATTAAAGTTATTTAGCTCGAGGCGACTAGTACACTACTAATGAAATTCATAGCCAAATTGGTGATTTGTAATTGAAAAGGATTTCATATCCTCTGACGTGAAACGCTCACATGTGTACGGACACGAAAACAAATTTTCAAAGCATTCAAAACGCCATGAAGGGGGCAAGTAGTTGCATGCAGGCGTAAAAAGTAGCACACGCTGGGTCGCGGTGAATGAATAAAATTGACCTGTGACCTCAAAAAAGAACTCAACAAGCTCAACGGAAAAGCAAACAACCAAACGCACGAGCTTAAGCGTTGGCGCCCACGCAAGCGGAAAGTAAAAAATGAGACTACAAAAAAAAAAAGAAGAAGTAAAAACAACTAGCAATAGATACAAGATACATCAGCAGCGGATGAGTGCGGTAAAAAAAAAAAAGCTTGAAACTAAATTTGTACAATAAAAAAAATATGCAATATTTATGAGACACTTAGCAACAGGCTGGTTGGTTGGCCGACTGACCAACAGAACGGAATATGAAATGACTGTGATGAGTAACTAAACTAATTTATCGCATGCAAGAAAATAGAAGCGAGTTATTGAGCACACGCAGCACATAGCCACAGCAACAGGGAGCAGTGACAATATCTAGTGAAGTGCTTCATACACATATAGAAATTATACATAATAGCAAGCCAACAGTGAATAAGCTCAGCATTGGCAGGATATATGTACATAAAAAAGCAATCGAAACGACGGTGGCACGTTTGAAAGGCGTCTGAGAGCCTCGCGCTGAATAAATGTCCTTCAAAAGCTATAAAAGAGCAGACAAAAAATTAACAAAGAATAACAATAATGATTCGAGACACGAGCAGGCATGTGGTTGGTAAAAATTAAATAAAAAAATTTCATTAAAAAACATAAAAAGAAGAACAAAGCATACTTAAGAATGAAAGCAGCACGCAAGCGGCACTAAAAAAACATTTTAATCAGCAGCAACAAGCAGAGCAACAGATACATATGTATGTATGTAAAGAAAAATGAGAGCAGGCGCTGCTGGAGTCGGCACCAAATTCTAAAGAAAGTCAAATTAACCCAATTAAGAATGTGCTAACTCGTAAAAGAGAAATTAGCTGCTGTGTTGGTAGAAAGGCTACCTAAAGAGCAGAGCACCAAAAAAAAAAAAAAGAAAGGAAGATATTGAGAAGTGAAGAAAATTTACATATGTTTAAAAAAAGAAATATTTGTATTTTAGTAAAACGAAATGGTGTTTAGTGTGAATGACATTGCGCTGAGCAACCTGAAGAATATTAGAAGCCCAAGTGGAACTGACAGGCGCCAAAGCGAACTATAACTACTACACAGGCACAAGATGACGTCGACTACCAATTTTGCATATCCATCTACATACTGCCATTTTTCCCCCATATGGACAAATGAGGAGTAAGTAAACAGAAAAACAAGCAGGCAGCCCTATTAAGGAGCTACAGAAAGCAGCAACGTGCTCATATTGTATTCCATAGCTGGAAAATGTACGCCACCGCCGCCGCCTCACTCACTCACTCACAATTAGCGCAGGCAAAGTGTGTCAATCAATATGAAAATGCGCTGTTGAATACAAGTAATAGAATTTACTTGTTGCTGTAGCGATTGTTATTGTTATTGGCATTGTTGTATTAGTGATGAAATACTAGTTACAACAACCACACATTATTAGATAGCAGCAACAACAATAACAAACTATGCGCTATACAAAAACCAAAAATAGGTTTCACTCAATGATTTTGATCTCACGTTCACGTCAAAGCGATGGAGGTGGTGGTGATGTTAGTGCGTGCGGTGGGGTTAAGGGCAGCAGGTATGCAAGTGACAGTGGTATGAGAATGGTTCGCTTACTCCCAATTGGTGGAGCAAGATTGACGATTTAGAAGTTTGTGATATAAGTACGATGAGAAAAGAGTTAAAGTACGTCAACTAAATATGTTTTTCTCAACACATGATTTGGTCTCAGTCAGCTACATTATTACTGGGTTAACGTTACGAAATCATGTATTGAGAGATATATATTTAGCTGGCGTTTTTCTGAGTAGACTAAATTCTTTTTTCGGTGTCGATAGACAACTAAAAATCCCTGAATAGAGTTTGAAAGCAATTGGAAAAGATTGAACACTAAAAAGAAACTCGCTATTTGGGTACCTCATTAATTACGGAATCATACAAGACAAAGATGTAACTGGGGCGCCATATATGTATTTTTCGACGTGCTGGATTCGAATCCGCTAATAGAATTGTCATAATAAGAGCTGGTTCGTAGGTAACATCATTTTCATTGCATATTTCTGTAATTTTAGGTGTTTTTTGAGGTGAGGACAAAAATAAATAAATTATGGCGCAAGATGAATGAATCCATAAAAAGGCGGAAAAACTAGTATTGACTAAAAAGAAGCCTGTGACTGCCCGGAAGGTGATGTCATGTGTTTGGTGGGAGTGGAAGGGAATTGTCCATTACAAAAAGCTACTCCTGGTCAAGCGATTGAAACCGATCAGTATGAATCAACATAAAAAGTGTTGTGCAGTATAAGGCAAGGACCCTGAAGATTATGATCTTTATAATGAAAATCATAATTTAACCAGAGTTCGAAAATAACCCTCTCCACTTTGTAAGTGTTCCAAAATAACTCTTACTTATTTCTTGTAGATGTGTGCTCTCGCTCATTGGGAAAAAATGCTTAATATAATGAAATAAAATAGCTTATTTTCAGTGTATCATATTATGAATGTGCAAATTTAACGATTATTCTTGATGGAAAAAAATTAGATAACAAGTAATTTATAGCAAAAAAAAAAGACTTCAATTCTCATATAAAAAAAAAATATATATATATATCTTATGATCCACTGATCCACGGATCTTAAATCAGATTAGTATGGGACCACCTCTGAGACACTACCTTTCCGATGCAAAAGAAAAGAATTATCGAAATCGGTTGACGTGGTCCAAAGTTATGCGGTATCATACATAAAAAAGAAATAAAAAATTTTCCGACAAACTGATAACCTCCTCCTCTTTTGGAAGTCCGTTAAAAATGAAAAAAAAAAACATTGTTTAGTTGTTTTGAAAGGAGGCCTGTCAAAAACACTTATTCTGTTTTTTCCTCAGAAATTAGAGAAGTTCTACGGTAATGGGATTTCGGTATGACCACAAACAAAACTGGCGAAAGCGCCGTCGGCAAAATGAGGTGCCCTTCTAAATAAAAGGAATATGTGAAAAATGCTTTGAATTTGGAATACAAATCCGCAAGAATTATTTCGACTACTCATTGCATTTCATGACGATTAATTTCAAATATTTCGATATGTAGAACTTTTTTTCTTCGTTTTCATATTTTTCATATCGTTTCATTTCATGCCATTCACTTCATTTTATTTCATTTCATTGTCAATTCTTTTCACCTAAAATCGATATGGGCCGTTTTAATTTATTTCATTTTCGCTTTACTATAATTTTTACTCAAACTTCAAATCATTTCATTTTATTTCCATCATTCCTATTCCCACAAATTGATGTATTTCCATTGCATATTAAATAGCTTAACTTAGTCGTATTTTCCTTTCATAAATTAAAAAAAATTCGTATTAAAACAAGTAGATATACAAATGGCTTTAAGACTTAAAAAAGTGGTTAATCCAAAAAAAAAAAAATTGTGGAGAATATCAAAAGTAGGCCAATTCAACGACCTGAATTTTTACTTCCGACTTTTTCTCCCATTCGACCCACTGTGCGTTAAGGGCAACTATAACAGAAAAAGCGCTTAGGAGCGGCCTCGAATGAATTTAGGGCACGCGATGAACTTTTGGAGCAAACGATATGCCATAAGGTACATACATACATACATAGTTATATATGTATGGGCAAAAGGCAGGAATGGTGGGCAAATGAAGATATATGTACATATGTATGTATGTATGTATGTACTAAGCACATATAAATTGCTGAAAGCAGCGCGACGAAAGCGGCAGGCAGCCATTTGTTGCGCCAACACCACAACCAAATTTCACGGCTGCGTTTGATACCCTTTTCTTTTTCAAAGATTATTTCCTCGATTACTTTTCTGCCTACACATTTTTGTGAAATATGAAATTATATGAAGCCCTATGAACATACCACCAACCGAGTACAATTACTAATGCTAATTCTATCAATTTGCTTTTGTTAACTGTTGATTACCTTTTATTATCACAGAAATGTGCGGCAGCAGCGACGGCGTTGGCGGCAGCGGCGTTACAAAATTCCTTAGAATTCGGACATTTAACTAATAATACTAGGCACAGAGGAGATTGTTGTTGTTGTTGTTGTTGTTGTTGGTGTTGCTGTTGTTGGTTATGATGATGAGGATTATGATGTTGTTGGTGCTGCTGCAATTGATTGTTGTTGTTGTTGTTGTTGTTGTTGCTGCTGCTGCTACCACTCTGGTGTTGATGCTGATGATGCGGCGCTGATTGTTGCAACTGTTGCTGCAAGTGGTGATGCTGATTGTTTTGTTGTTGTTGTTGTTGTTGTTGTGGCTGCTGGTGGTGGTGGTGGTGGTGTGAATGTTGCGAGAAACGTGAATGTTGCGGAATTTGTTGCTGTTGTTGCTGCTGTATTCGGTGGTTATTTGTTGTATTGTTGTTGCTATTGTTGCTATTGTTATTTGTCGCTTGCTGATTGTACTGTTGTTGTAAGTGTTGTTGCTGCTGCTGATTCAAGTGACGCCGTATCGATTGGTTTATACGATTCGTTATCGAATTTGTCAGCGCGGAATGATGGTGATGATTGTGGTGCGACAGGCGGTGCTGGCTGTTGCTGCTGCTGGATGTAGATGCTGAAGCGCCAGCTGTGACGCTGCTGCTACTGCTGCTGCTGCTTGCCGCTGTAAGTTGTTGTTGCAGGCTGCTGTTAATGTTGTTCTGATTAAAATTGTTGTTGTTGTTGTTGCTGCTGCTGCTGTGCCCAAACAGCCGACTGGCGATTATACTGTTATTGAGGTGATGATTGTGTTGGCTACTGCTATGGTTGCTGCTGCTGCTGCTGCTGCTCCCACCGTAAACACTGGCAAACAGAGAGGCAGAGGAGGAGGCGGACGCCGAGGATGGGGCGGCAAAATTGGAATTCGAGATCGCTGAAGAAGACGGCGGCGACGGTGGGCAGCCAGAGTTGGATGTGCTGTTGTGGTTGTTATTGCTGGACGCCAACGTTGAGGAACTATGTGAACGCTTTAAAATTCTGTGCAAATTATTGGTGAATGCTTCCTGTAGAATGTTGCTTGGCGAGGCCAAGTGCCGCTGCAATGTTGTTGTGCTACTTCGCAGGCTACTACTACTGCTGCTGCTACAATTGTTGTTGTTACTAGTACTACTACTACTACTACTGCTGCTGTTGCTGCTGCTGCTGGCGCTCACAGTCGCACTACTGCTGCCACTTGATGCTCCACTTTCGAAATTTAGGTGACCCAAATGTTGCTGCAACACCGAAGGTGCTTGCTGATGCTGTTGCTGCTGCGGCGGCTGTTGCAAATGCAACTGCAGCTGTGGCAATGCAGCCGATTGAAGACCTAAATTTGCCTGTTGTTGTTGTTGTTGTTGTTGTTGCGGCGGCGGCTGCAAATCAACGCTGCAATATGAAGGTAACCCGCGCAATGCCACTGGTGGCGTAGAAATCAACTGTTGCAGGCGGCTGCAATTGTTGTTACTCGGGCTGTTGTTGTTGTTGCTACTGCTGCTGCTAGCAAATTGGCGGCTTATTTGCTTTGAACTGCCGTTGTTGTTGTTGCTACTGCTACTACTACTACTGGCAATCGCTTCCAAGAGCGGTGATGTGGCGGATGATGCGGCGGCTGCTATTGTGGCCGCAGTTGTAGTGGTCGTGGGCGATAGGGGAGGGCTGGCCACAGTGACGGTGGTGTTGCAGTTTTCCGCTGCAGTTGGGGTTGTGTTTGTGGCTGACGCTGACGCTGCCCCTGCACCAATAAGCGCTGCACCGCTTATGCAAAAACAATTTTCAAGCTGTTCACGTTGCGCGTATGGCGACGATGATGGCTGTTGCAGCTGTTCTTGCTGCTCAAGCGGTTGTTGCTCTCGCTGTGCGTCGTTGTCGTGCAACAATTGTTGCTTCGTTTGTTGTTGCAGGCGCTGCTGCTGCTGTTGCTGTTCTTGCTCCTGCTGCTCTTCAACTGCTGCTACTGGCTCTTCCAATACAATGTCCTCCACAACGTGCGCCTGCTCTGATGTTTCGACGGCGGCGGTGACGACGTCCACTTCACCAACACTTTCTAATACATCGACAACATTTAGATTTCGCTTTTTCTTAATTTTCACAAATGGATCAAACATTTTATAGTCGTACCTGGCGACAATTTTGTATGAAATTAATTATACACACTTCACAAAGATGAGCGAAAAATTTTGGTCGAATTTCGTTTTGGGGCTATTTTTTGGAAATGGTTTTATTAATTTTTGTTTTTATCTACTGTGTTGGTTTTTTTTTTTGGGGAGGGGGGATTAAGTTGAGCAACTCAGTTTGGTTGATAGTAAAATTGTAATTTTTCAATTTGTTTTTTTTTTTTTACGCACTTTTCGTTTTTAATAAAATAGTTTTTTTATTTGTTTCTTATTTTCACTCAACTTTAAATTTTTTCACAAAATATGTTTTTGGCTTTTCACTTAATTCTGTTGTGGTTTGCATTTACATATGTTTAGTTTCTGCTACTATTTTCACATTTCATTTCACTTTAAAATTATTTTAGCTATTTTCACTTTTTCCAAGCTACAGTTTTTTTTTATTATTTTCTTTATTTAGCACTTCAGTTAAGTTTGTACTGTATAGGAATTTTTCAAGTAGTTTTGTTTTAAGATTTCATACACATCTACAGCTTTTTGAGTTTTTGATACAAGCAAATTTCTACTAATTTTTGTAGAAAATTTTTTCACAAAAGTTTTAAAATTTGCAGTATTCAATTGCACAATTTTTTCCAGAAAATTAATTTTTTAAATTTTTGTCGACATTTTTGTGCACATTTGATGCAGCAAAAAATAGCGTGGCGTAAGTTTTGCTTTTTTTAATTAAAATACGCACTTTTATTTAAAATTTGTTCTACAAGATTTTATTCGCTTGCATCACTCTATTAAATACTTTTAAAAATTTTTACTTGCTACTTTTAATACTTTTGTGCATTTCACAATTACATAAATATTTTAAAATATTTTTTTTTTCTTCTTTCGCTCCTTCTTAAGCAACTTTGTACCTTTTAGCAATCATTAACACTCTGTTATACTAAAATTTGTTTTTTTCAGTTGTTTTTTTTTCTGATTTTTTGTATCGCACAGAATCTTCTTCTTCCTCTTCGTTTGTAAGCGCGTTTGCGGACCGTCAGTTTGTTTTATACGCAGTTAGGTTTTAGTTTTATTTTCGCAAATTTCTTTACAGATTTTTGCTATAAATTTCTTTATACAAATTTCACGTCTTATTTCCACTAAATTTTTTGTCAGAAACTTTTCACATGCTTGTTAGCCGAAAAAAATCTACACCCAATTTGTAGATTTTTTCTATTTTTCTACTACAGCTTTTGCTGCCGCTGCTGCTGTACTAACTCTGCTGCTCTGGTTGTGTCTCGCGCGCTGCTTTTTTGAGGCTGTCAGGTCACTATATCAGACTGCCAAGCGCGTGTATATATTCTCATATGTTGCTTGCACGTCGGTATATATATCAGATACATATAGATTCGTTCTCGCCACAGCTGCTGCTCCTTGCTGCTGTGGTATTTTATATTTCGTGCGTACGAACTTTGCCCGTATGTATACACACAAATAAACAGAAAATATATTTTTGTGGGGGCGAACGACGAGGTGGCTTGGTTTGGTGGTGTTTTAGTTTTCGCTACAAATTGACTGGCTGGCTGGCTAGCTGTTGTCTACTTGGTTCTTTGACGTTTGTTCACACACTACACTATCTATGTAGTAGATATGGTATGCAGGCAGGTAGAGGTATTACACAAATACAAAAAAAAAATAAGTTCATCTATCCATGCCGTTTGGAGTCTCTACTAACCGCGCTAAAACGATCCGCTCCGCTTGAAAGTTACCGTACGACTGAATTGAATGTTGGAAACGAATGAGCAAATGCAGCCAACGAGGTAGCCCGCAGCAGCAGCAGCAGAGGTAGCAGCAGCTGGTTTGGTGGCCAACTGAAAGTCAACGACGTTGCTGCCGCTGTCGCTGCCGACGTTGGGCATTGAGCAAATCAGTAAATCAACCAACACCAAGGTAGGCAAACACACACAAACGCCAACACTCATGCACATGAGCGCTGACGCGACGAACCCATGAGGGGCGAACGAACCAGCGAATGTTGAGTGAACGAACGTATAAACCAACAACAAACAGATGAGGTCGCGCCTGTCGCTGCCTAGGTTGTGAGGGGGTGGTGGAGGTGGGCAGGCAAAAACGATGAACGTTTCTATGTACATACATATGTATGTACGTCGGCTGTGCACCAGTCAGTCACTCCAAAATTATTAGGATAAAGAAAACAGAAAAAACGTTTAAGGCAAATGTAATCTCAAATTTTTGCTGCCCCAATCGCTGTCTCTAATGCTGCTGCTGGCACTGCCAGCGCAATCACCGCTGTTGCTGCTATCACTGCTGCTAGCTGCTTCTGTTATCCGCATATTAAGAGAGCAACAACAACTAACAGAGCCTAATAACATTAAGTGTTGTAGTTATATGTAGTTATTTTTTATTATGTGGTTATTGCTGCCACCGCCAACACCAACACTGCGTTTAGCCATTGTTGTTGTTGTAGTTTTGCTGTCGCTGCCGCTGCTACTGTTATGTTTGCCCTGCTCTGCTTTTAAGTGTGTGGGGAGTTTTATTAAATGGCCCCCCTTCAACCATTTGCTCTCTTGCTCTGCTACTTTTGCTGGCTGTAGTGCTCGAACTTGTAGATTAGTGTTGTTGTTCTTGTTGTTAATGTTTTTTTTTTTGCCTTTGGTGTTGGCCCTCGTTGGCCTGGCCAAGAAAAATGAGCACATGTATGAGCAGCACAATGACAGCAACAACAGCAAGAAAAAACTTAAACATGAAATAAAAAAAGGCAATTTACACAAAGCAGAGCAGAGCAGAGCAGCATTGAACAGCAGAGCATTTGTAGAAGAACAACTGTTCTCGCTCTGCCCCGAAGAAACCAATTGAGTACACAACCCACCCGAGTTGTTGGATCAGGCGCTGGCAAAGTGGATGTTGAGGTGCTGTTGCTGTTGCTCTGACTGAGCGAGCAAATGAGCGAGCAACGAGTTTATGACCCAACAACGCAACAAAAAAAAAAAATGGACGAGATTATTATTTTTTAGGTATTTCTTTGGTGTGTGTGTGTATTAACATTAACATACATATGTATGAATAAAGTCACACGATTGGAAATAGAGTGGCGAATTGAAATAAAATAAAATGAATAACTTAATAAAATAGAAAAAAATATTGAAGAAATTAAATTTTTAGACATTTTAACGAAAAAATTTTACACTAAAATTGAAATAACATAAAAGTAGCGAACTGAAATAAAATAAAATGGAAAACCTTAATAAAATAGAAAAAAATATTGAACAAAGTAAATTTTTAAACATTTCAATGAAAAAAATTAAACGAATAGAACTGAAATAAAATAAAATAAACAGTGAAATATCTACATACATAAATACGGAATGCAAACAAAAAAAGTAAAATTTTATTAGAATAATATATAAAATTAAAATACATACATACAAAATAAGTAAAAATTATAAAATAAAATAAAATTAAAAAATACTACAATTTTTAATAAACTAGGATAAAACGATACCTACCCCAAATGGA